TGGCGGACTCAGCTGCAAAGCCTCTTGCTGCTCAACGTTCAAATTTGTCTCCGCCCTCATTCTGGCCATGGCAGCGTGCAAACCGCGTAGAAGTATCTCAGCACCGTACACGAATTCTTCCTTAACAATTGCATTTCGTTTAGAGAAAAATTGCGATTCATACAATTTAATTTTTTAATAGCAAAGTAAATGGAAAACGTAATATTTACTTAAAAGAAACACTTATACCTGCGAATCACACGCCCCAGCCCATCGCATCATCTGCGCCTCGTACTCCTCGTTGAGGGCCTTGATCAATTGCAGGTCCGTCTCGAAGTTGGCGATCATTTCGCGGCCCAGCTTCAGGTACTTGTTGGTGTCAAGGCTTCGGCGGAATGGGCGCTGAAAATAGAAATTTATGTAAGTAACGGGCGTAAAAAAACGGACCTTCTCAACTTCTCGGTTGACGATATCGTTGCAGATATCTTCAAGTTTCTGATCATCGCCTAGTCTGACAGAAGGGAGGTCCTGGAATTTGTATGATTTCTCATTTTTTTTTTGAATACATACCTGATCATTAACAACAGCAATATTGGCCAGTATCCGCTTTCCAAGTGCTGGGATTTGGTCGGCAAAGGGCAGCGATTTGGCGAAATCGAATAGAGATTGAAATGGCATGGCGGCGGATGCGGGATTGGAGAACGAGGTCGGGATTGAATCCACTATGGTGGGTGGGAATGAATTAATGAATTTGGGAGGTCATTGGGCGGAAGGGGTTATCAAGCCTGTTAATGCGTTAGGGACAGATGCAGAAGCGGGTGCAGAAGATGTAAAAGCATGCGATAAAACAGATTAAAGGGTTGAATGCGTGCATTAATGGCTTATAATAATCGAGTCAGTCTTCTCGTGTTCTCTCCCTCCCCCCTCTCTCTCCCTCTCTCTCTTTCCCTCTCTCTCTCTCCCCCTCTCTCTCTCCACGTGATCCCTAGCGCTCTATCTTGCTCTCTAGCGCTCTATCCTGCTCCCCTTAGCTCTCGCTCTCCCTCTCTATCGCTCTCTCTCTCTCTCGATCTCTCTCTAACTGCAGTACACCTCCAAGCATTTGTCACCTGGTCTTGCGTTGTACTCATATCTAAATCCGCATTTTTTCGATGACTCAACCTCTGATTTGTACGTGGTAATACAATGAGCGCTTATGGCCATCATTTTGGTTCGGACCTCATTTATAGGGGGCTGAACCCGGTAATCCACCCGTGTCGCGTTGTTTCCCCCGACACGGGTCGGATTCCGTCAGACACCACTTGACGGTCCGCTGGAATTGGGTTGAATTCGACAAATTTCGATCGCAAATGCCTGTTTAACGTTTATTGATTTTTCTGAGTTTACAAAGCGTTTTCTATAGCTGATTCGTTCACAAAAAAACGTACGATCTTGCAGATACCTTAAAAATGCTTCGTATTGCCGTTATTGTGCTTATTGCCTTTGTTACTGTATCGCAGGGCGGCTGGTTTGACGATCTTTGGGGTCAGGTAAGTATACAAAATTTATAAGCTGTTATTAACAGTTTTTGACGTTGATATCTATGAATTGAAGGCTCTTTAGTAATCTACGCATAGTAAAACACTATCAAAATCTTTCAAAATCTATATTTTTCCATATCTTAGATCCAAAATGTAGCCAACGATGTCGGTAGCTCCGTACAAGGTGCCGGACAAGCTGTAAGAGATTTTCTTAAATTTCACTTAAATATATTAATTTTTGATCTAATTTATTTTTAGGCTGGAAACTGGGTGAACGAGGCCAAAAACAACGTCTGTTTTTTAAATTTTTATCAGTTTGAAATTAGACGGAAAGCTTTTTTAACAACGAGGTGAAACCGAACGTCGAGAACATGACCGAAGCGTAGGAAACCCACTGAATTTTTATTGATAATTTTTTTAGGCTGCGACTTGGGTGAACCAGGCGAAAAACAACGTAGGTTTCGCTGTATATTTTTGATTTTCGAATTAGACTGAAAACTTTTTTAACAACGAGGTGAAGCCGAAGGTCGGCAACATGACGGAGAACGTAGGCGTCTCCTTACAAATTTGTAAAAAAATCTTCTAGGCCAAAGACTGGGTGGAAAACCAGGGGATGCCGGCCGTGAAGGGAGCGTGGAATGATGTAAATTGATTTTTTATATCTCGTATCCATGTTTTGTAGACGAGCAACTGGTTCGAGCAGGCCGGGCAGGCGGTTGGCCAGGTGAAAGCGAGCCCGGCTTAGGGTTAAGCTTAAGATGGGCCTCGGCTTCGGCTTAGGCTTTGATCGTGGCTGGGGCTTGACTTAGGTTTAGGCCCAGGCCCAGGCTCAGGCTCAGGCTCAAGCTCAGACTCTGGCTTCGGCTTCGGCTTCAGCGCAGGATTATCCTAAACTTAGGCTGCAACCAAATTTGTGTAATTTCCACAATTCCAGGAGGTGAACAACGGCGTCAACGCGGTCAAGCAGGTCGTGTAAAACCTGGAATAAATATTTTTCTACATTTTTTATTTTACATGTCACAAGCTGCACGCTGATTCTGGGTGTAAACACGGCCCATTCTTCGATACAATAATAAAACCTGGGGAGGAGTGGTGTGGGTCCACGGGGGGCAAACAGGGCCCCCGCCGTGAATCAGGTTTTATGAAGCCGGAGTGAGGAGAGTTCTGCAGCACATCGATCATGTTTTAGTGGATTAGGGTGTTTAGAAGTACCTGATTTGACGCTTATTTGCTTATGATGATAGTTTATGGCTTGTTTTTTCGAAAGGCAAATTGGGTCAATGACGTTTTTGGGTTTGATAAGGCCCAACAGAGTCTAATTTGCATAACTGCGGACTGATAAGGGCTTTGCTACCTTCACAAAACGCTACAAAACGTTATTTGGCTCTATCTTGCGTTTCCTCTCTCTCTCCCTCTCGCTCTCTCTCTCTCTCTCTCTCTCTCTCTCTCTCTCTCTCTCTCTCTCTCTCTCTCCCCTTTCACTCACTCACTCTCTCGCTCTCTCTTTTTTTTGACCAAGCTACAGTACACCTCTAAACATACCTTGGCTGGTTACGGTTATACTGGATCCCTGTCTCTCGCTCTCTCTCTCACTCTCTCTCTCTCTCTCTCTCTCTCTCCTCTCGCTCTGGCTCTCTTTCTCTGACTCTTGGATTCTTACAAAATCTGGGCTGCCCGGGCCGTCCTTTCCTACAAGATTTTCTGATTATTATTTCGCACTTTGATTCGGCTCAGAATTCACGATTTTCCTAAACGAACTCTGCTTTGACTTCCTCAGACTCAATCGTGAGTCATTCCTTTCTCGCTACAAAATAAATAAAAAAACAGCTATCTCCTCTCATTTCGAAACCCCTCTATTTGATTTCCCCCCTTAAAACAGTGTGGGAAAACTCGCGTCTCACAAGCAATGCCCCTGGAATTCCCACGTAATTCGACACTGGTTCCTCGGAACCTCGGATCATAGCTATGATGATGATGGAACGCTATAAGCTTTGAGCCGGCATCTCTGGGGAACCATAAACAAAGCAGCCCCACTTTTCCTCCACGCCCTCCATCCCGGAAGCCCAGTTTTCCGTTTCCCCCATTCGCTAATTACGATCTTTTCTCGCGGTGTTGGGTGTGATTCATCGTTGCTCATCGATTATAAGCTTTTGGCTGTCACCTGGAAGGTTGGCTATCATAGACGATGTCACTTAATGATTTCTTTCATCCTTCTTTTGGACACATGGACACTAAACAGGCGGCCATGTGACGTATTAAAACGAAACTTGTAGATCACCGTTTAGCATGGCTTCAAGCTAAAGCTTTCCTGCCGCTCGTTGTATACCTGTTCCGTGAAATTTTTTTACTAGTTTCCATAATTTCATGGGCCATGAAATTTCCCGTTTTCAACGTGCTAACACCTATTTTTATCTTATTTTCCTATTTTTATCTTTTTCAACATCAGTTTTTTCCAATAAAGGCCAGTGGCGATCGTACGATGTAATCAGGCTATTTCCAGCAAACTCCAGGAAATGAAGGTCCTAATCTTAGCTGTCCTGGTGACCCTGGCCTCGGCAGGATTTTTCGATGATATTGCCGATGGATTTAAATCAGTATAAATAGTTATAAAATTCAGAGAACTTTCTATTTTCTAGGCTGGAGACTGGGTGCAGAACAAAGCAGCGCCTGCTGTCAAGGAAGCTGCTAGTGATGTGAGTTGTGCAAAATTTTCTACATTTTTACAAATTTGAGCTATTCCCGGCTGTTTTAAGTAGCGTAAATTCATTAAGCGTCTAGACTATATATTTATTCTTAGACCAGCGATTGGGTGCATGAGAAAGCCGTCCCTGCTGTGAAAACTGCTGCCAGTGATGTGAGGATTGCTTAGGTTTAAAATAACTTTCAAACAATTCAGACGGGCGACTGGATCAACGACAAGGCTGTGCCCGCCGTCAAATCTGCGGCTTCTGATGTAAGTTCCTAGATTCGTGATCATTCTTAGCTGAGTAATACACGTCATGAACTGATTTAATGGCTTCAACCTTTTCGATTTTTAGACGCACCAATGGGTGCGCGACACTGGTGTTCCTGCTGTTGGAAAGGCGGCTTCTGATGTAAGATTTTTGGGTGTTTGAAACCTTTTTCTGCCCAAGAACATCATGCTGTGCTTTCCCAAAAATTTGATAAATTTGTCGTTTTTAGGCCGGTGACTTTATCCAGGGCAAGGACCGGAAATAGATGATTCGAGCTTTAATTTTGGAAAATGCTTTGTACCTTGCAATTTTTGTGAATAAACGTATTTAATTAGAACTGGGAATAATTCACAAAACCGCGATGCGAAAGAAAATGGACCTATTTATACGGCAATGCAAGAAACTTACGTTAGGAATCAGCAAACTCCTTTAACAGTACCTTACGAGCAATCGGTAAACAGACAAGTGTACCTTCGACTTCCGGTACGATACTACTGGAACATCGCATTGACTAAATTAGATTGGCTAAAATTTCATTTTTAGTCGCTGTCTGTTTATACGTAGCCTGTACCTCCAGAATCATCAATGTTGATTCCCCAATCCTATCCATCGTCGGAGCAATCCTTGACACTTCCTGTAAACGACAGTATGAACTTCCCGAAATCCGACACACGCTGATATCGCAGATTGTAGTTTTGGTCGGCCGACGGTTTGGTGCCTGGTGATGACTTCCGGCGAACGTCGTAAACACCCGCCCACCACCTATAAATTCAAATCACCGCGCTAGTTTTTCTAGTTTTTCGTTTTCATCCGGATAAGGGCTATCCAGGCACCGATCATCAGAATTTTGCGAATTCACGTTTTTAGCAAAGCCAAAAAATGAAACTCATCATCCTCGCCATTCTGATGCCTCTAACCTCAGCTGGATTTTTGATGATATTGCCGCTGGCCTTAAAAAGGTAGAAAGTGTTTAGAAATTATATGGAATCCCGATTCCAGACCAGCGAATGGGTTGAGAAGGAAGCGAGACCTTCGATCGGGAAAGCCGGTAGTGACGTGAGTACAGGGTGTCCCAAAAAAAATCCCCCCCCCCCCCTAGCCGGCCGCAGACGGGTCCGATTTTTACGATTTAGGTATCTATCGAAAGCTCTCGGAAAGGCGAGTCGAGCACGTCTTGCGGATTTGCGAAATGTCGGAATTTTTTGCTCGATTTTTGGCATTTTTCATGCCAAAAGGACAGACTTTTTTGTTCAAAACGCAATTTAACCGATTTAAGCGCTGTCCAAGCTGTGTTTTGGCAAACGGCTTTCAAAAAGCAGTCGTTGGGTTGCCAGGAAACGCGTAAAAATTCTTAAATTGCGATTTTTGTAAAAAATCCCCTGGTCAGAACAACACCAGAAAATCCGCCCATTTTGCAAAAACATTAGTAACTGATGAAAAAATTTCCAAATTATGAAAATCGAAGAGACGTGCTGGACTCGCCTTTCCGAGAGCTTTCGATAGATACCTAAATCGTAAAAATCGGACAGGTCTGCGGCCGGCTAGGGGGGTTTTTTTTGGGACACCCTGTAGTAGACGTATGTAAGTAGACGAGAGTAGCGAGTTTATAATGAATTGGGCCGTCTGTCTGTCTATTTGTCTTCTTGTCCGAGAAAGTTAATCTATAAGCTATTACGTACTATAAACTTTTTCTAGGCCAAAGTTTGGGTTGAGACAAAGGGAGCGCCGGCTGTTGTGGGTGCGGCTAAGGATGTAAGTTTTCGAGATTTTTTTGTGTATTGCTATTTGTTGAATACGATTTAGAATCCGTAATCATAATTTTAAAGCCTACGTAAAAACCTTGAAAGTGAGCTATTTAACCTACCATTATAGACAAACAAATGGGTCCAAGAAAAGGCGGTTCCTGGAGTCGGACGGGCTGTTTCAAATGTAATTTTTTTATATATTGTTATCTACCTTTTGCTGCTAATATAATTCTTAGGCTGGCGACTACATACAGGAAAAAGATCGGCAATAATGACTTCAATTTTAATTTCTCAAGTTTCTTAAGCTGCTGTGCAATTTTGCCAATAAAAATTTTTCTGTTACTAAAAAGGCATAATAAATGTGCGCAAAACGCAAAAAATGTGCTCCAAAACCAAAAATTAAACGTTTGCTGGGAAACGTACCTATTGAATGTTATAATTCGGGTCGGCTAATTGGAAATCCGGCTCAACGATGAGGCATCGAGTTCCACAGCCTGCAAACCTGGCACCGATGCAAGCTGTTTTTGATGATTCACCGTTGAGCCGGCCTAGATACTGTAGCGCTTAATCCGATTCGAGTACCTTTTATACGGTTCGATAGTTCAGAAGATCGCCAGTTTGCGAACCGAAAAATCTGCTGTTTTTAAATACCCAAAGTGAAAAAATGCTTCCGTAAATATTGACGCTGCTAAATTTCGTTCCTGCCGGTTGATTTAAAGCGCACGTTCAGGGAGGGGCCGTGTACTCGTCCCAACGTGTACACCCTATGGACGTTGGGACCGCGCGCACCGCCTGCCCGTGCTGTGACAGGCCATTCCCCTCCTTTGCGGCGTGGGGCGCCCCTCGCCTCCTCACCAGGTTGTAGCTGTGGCTGACTGGTATCCATCCGCGCCTCCCGAGCGGGGGGTCCGGGTTCGACCCCCGGCCGCGGCAAAAATCTTTGCTTTTTTCCAAAAAACGTCCCTGAACGTGCCCTTTAAACGGCAAAATCTTTCAATTTTTAGAAAGTTTATGATTTTTAGAAAATTATGAAACTGCTTTTCTTGATCGTCTTCTTGGCAATCGTCTCGCCTGTGTATTGCAACGACCTCGTTGATATATTGCACAAGGTAACTTGGTCTACGAATTAAATAAACCCTATTTATAGATTGGCCATAAGTTTGAGGAGAAGCAAGACGTAATTATTGACAAAGTGGTCAACGGGGCAGTCGCTGCTGTAAGGCTGGAAATTTTGGATTCTAAAAAACAACTCAGGTTGGCAGGCTAATTGTTGG